GAACACGTACTTACGTACGCACGTACGACGAACAGTACCAGGTAAGTATGTAGAGTACGTGTAAGAAATTTTTCATTAAATAAAATAAAATGGTAAATAATTCAGGAATAACCAAGGGGCAAAATATTCACACGTAAGAAACAAGTTCAGGGTTTAAAAAGAATGAGTCATTCTTTAAGAGAAAAAACAACGATAATTACCAAAAAAATTTAAAGTTGCAGATCATCTACAATAAGAATTCGAAATCTGTACATAATAGTACAATACTTAAAATGTTTTGGATACGCAAACAGAAAAAAAAAAAATTTAAGAAATTATTGGTGATAATTATCCTTACTACGTAACATAATCTCGATTTATCGGAGACACGGAGTTTAACGTTAAATTCTTTTGCAACAATAAATCACACAAACGCCGTATATTACCTAATAAGACTGGTAATACTAATATGTCATCACATTAATTTACGCCGAGTGAATCAATTTTTTTTCTTTTTATTCAAAGGGAGAATACATTCCTATTACATTCTTTTTTCGAAGCGTAATCATAATATTAAAATCTAAAAAAATTTAGAACCATATTGATAACCTAAGCATTCATTAAAAATGATGCAATACTTTCTATTAAATGTAGGGTCCATTTTTATCAATATGATTTTAGTGAAATCATTTCTTAATATGGTATGGCTTAATTTCTTTGTTTCTTTGAAAACTATTTCCTATTATTAAATATTGTTAGTGACATAGAAATGATACAAATACCCGACGGGGGGATGAGAAAAAAAAAATTCTATCGGATTTTGCGTTAGAGCCAGAATTTTTTCACATTTAAAATTTATATTATCAATAGTCAGGCGTTAACGCATGCTTCTACATTATTGTTACCTAACTAAAACGGAAAAAATGCGAGATGATGATACTGTGGTATCATTACTTAAAAGCACCAATCCCATTCATTCCGAACAGTTGTTTCAATTGATGAAATGGGAAATATTTATAGATTGTGATTTTTAAATTATCACATGGGAGTTTACAATCTTTGTTTTAAAAAAAAGAGATTTTTTCTTTATACCGGTAGTTGTTATTGTAGCGATTGCTCCCAATGATATAAAACTAAAAAAGAAACCTAAAATAGAAAAAAAACAAAATCCCTTTAGTTTATTAGGCAATTTTGTCTAACAAAGCCACATTTTTAAAAAGTTTTGTGGTGTACAAATGTTTCTCAAAATCCGGTGACCATAGATCCAACACGTATGTATGGTTCACGTAAAAATGAGCTTTACTCCTTAACGTTAATTTAAAAAAGTGTGGTGATCGTCTTGAAAACTTCCGATACGTGTATAGCAGATAATATATACTGTAAGCGTGAATAAATAATTTTAACATAATCATTTGATTTTTTTTGTTATTGTTTATGAGTCGCGAAAGATCAACAAACTCCGTTGTACAGTCAATTGACATAGCCAAATTACATAGCCGAATTGTGTGGCATCTCGACCTTCCATACTCTAAAATAACAAATATTAACGTTAATATCTAAGCCAGCTAATTAATTGTTAACTGTTAACCTACTTATCAGTTATCAGTTATCTGTTATGATATGTATCGTATTTACGTTACCAGTTACGTTACGTTACGTTACGTTACGTTACGTGATGTAACTTTGTTAATTATTTACCACTTTTCAGCATTTCCGCTTTTCAGGTCGTCACAGCATTATATCATTAGTATTGTACATTTCCATCCAGAATAAGTGCTCTTTGACAATTTACAACTTATCCGATGCAGGATGCATGCATTGACATGTGTTAATCGAATGATTTTTGATAATAGTAGTATTTGAAATTTGAGCGAAATTCAAGAAATTCATTTAAATGTTCTGCAACCAGGTTACGCGTAGACACCCAATATTATTATACTCTCTTGTTAAGGAACTAACTGTATATGTGCGTGCATAAATTTTTTTGTATTTAATCAGTTTAGGCTACATGATGTTTCAAAATTTCACGTTTCTTTCACATTTCTTTCACATTTATTTCACATTTCTTATGGTTTTAAAGAAAAAAATAGATCGATATAACATTTTTATTTTTGATCATCAAAAAGAAATTCCTAATTACTCTAACCACTCGGAACAGTAATCGATTTGTGTGATATCATTTATCACGTGATTGTCCATTGTTAAAATATCCGGCTAGAGTTTCACCAAAGATAGTTATACCAAGTATCATGAGATACATCATCAATCAAAGTCTTTTTTAACTAAACCTTTTTTAGTATGGATAGTTTGGTCACGGTTCTTTAAGACATTACTGCATTAGATCTGACTGATTGATCGTTGATAACTCTTCCAAATCTAAATTTGATTCATGACTTTATAAATCTTGGTTAAATAAATTACGCGAGCGATCTCTTCTTTTTCATGATCCAGTAATCCTAGAGATTTAACGTATGCTATTTTTAAAAATTCCTAGAAAAATAATATTTTAAGTTTAGCTCCTAAATAAAGTTTACATGCGCTTAATATGATTTATTATCATAAAAGTAGTTTATCGTCGCCGTTATAAATGATCATTAATAATTTACGAAGGTTATAAAATTATATCACTTGTTAAAAAAAATCATATTCCATAACTTTATTAAAAACTTATTCCTTTTTACGTAAGTGCGTAATCTTTTTTAAAATATTTACAAAAAAATTTTTAATGACCAGATTAACAATTTTACGTATAAAAAAAGAAAGTGAAATAATAATAACAATAATAGTAAGATGTCCATTGTTATCTAGCGAGAAAAAGTTTCCCAAAATAACCCTTATAATGAACCCCACATATATACATATTATTAGTTGAAAATAGTTAAAAGTTTCTATAGATATTTCCATAATCATCAGAAATATCTAATGAATGCATCATTTATCGTTATGTTGTGATTATTGCTATTATACAGTTACTTTTAATGACTATTATTATTATTATTACTATTATTATTATTCAGCTCATCAAGTTCATCAAGTTCATCAAGTTCATCAAGTTCATCGTTAGCTTTCTTTTTTTTTTCGTTAACGAATTCTAGAGATTAAGAAAAAGTAAAATCTATTTACGAACAACATACACCTTTAACCCCATCTATCGTTACTCCTGATGTAAACATGTCATTAGGATAATAACACCATACATCAGTTCGTCCGCTTTCTGTGATAATTCCACTATAACCACCAAAAAATTTTGATGGTAAGAAAGAAATCAAATTTCCGATGGATGTATTTCTTGATGAGTTGTGTTTTTTATTTGAATGATGTGGAATTTCCAATACTGGATCATAGAGATCATCTTTAAGTATTTGAATATCTAATTCTGTGCGAGCTTTTTTATCTTGCTCTAAATGACCTCTGTGTTCTCGATAAATATTGATAGGTGCCCCAAGTCCTTCTTCTTCATCTTCTGTTCGACTATTATTTAATAAGCGACTATTTTTTCGTTTGTGTCTAATCATTGGTGTAATTTCGTTATTTATTAATTTGATGTTGGTTTGTGTGTGTGAATTTTCTCTGGTTTCGTCTTTGACGTATCCTCTACATACGTACATAATAGTTTTTTTTAGTAAATTTTAAATATAATAAATTACATATAATAAATTACATATAATAAATTACGTATAATAAATTACATATAATAAACTACATATAATAAAAATGATATCGTTATTTTTATATACTTACGAAGTAATATGTGATTCATTCATATAATCTTCTGTGACCTTGTATTTTTTTTGCGTAATAGTAGTTCCGCTCGAAACTTTAGCTTGAGAATTTATGTTTGATAAAATCATTTCAAAAAAAATTCTAATAATGCCGTATGTTAATTTGAGTTTTCTTTAGACTTAAATTGCGATTCGTTATTATTATTTTTATTTGAATTTTTTTTTTCTTTTTTTTTTTTTTTTTTTTTTTATAGAAGATATACGTAAAAAATAGTAAGTTTTTTATATTTTTATATATTTTATTATTTTTATTTTTATTTTTATACGTATGTAGTTTTTTTTTGCTTACAAAACAAAAAAAAAATTTGATAGGGATGTACCAAAGGATGTATGATATTTATACTTTCTTTTTTTCCTACGCCTGGCTGTGCATTAACGGTTCTGTTCATTTGTAAGTACAGCACATACTGTATTTACAGTACGTACAGTACGTACATATAGTCACACTTAATTGAAAAATAATGTATTACTTCAAAATAAAAGTGATAGGTGATAATTTTATGCTAGAACCCATGAAAGAACATCACTTAATTGGTCATAAATTTTTAACTTTATTATTATAATCGCCTTTTTTTGTGTTGTAATTAAAACTCCTACCATACTGCTATATATCATATATCGTGTATATCGAACCAGAAAAGATCAGATGGTCGTGAACTTTCAAAAAAAAAAGGAAACTGATATCCATTATATCCAAGTACAGTACGATATATAAACATAATTAGATAAAATAAAATAAAATAAAAAAGCGGCGGGTTACTAGATTATTGTCGTATATGCACGTTTTGCACGGGGATTTCTAAATTTAAGGTCAGGGACTTGTATAACGTAATACAACTACTATGCTTAGCCATTCCCGCTTTTCACAGGCTGACAATGAAAAAAAAACTTATCAACCAGATTTGATTCATATATTAAATGCATAATTTTTTATTTGGACTTAATGCGCCACATTTTATAACGCATAAAAAAAGAAATTAAAATCGAAATCTTTTATGCGCAAAGAAGCATATTTAATTATTCATGACCAATATAATTTTGCATTTCTTTTCATATGAATAATAAAAAAAAAATTCCCTATTATCATTATTTCGATGATTTAAGAAAAATTGCCTATCCTAATGTATTATCCTGCCTTTTTATTCCTTTCCGATTTTCGATCATCTTTCTTGGCATGAATATATGTATACTAGATTATGAATTTATAAATTTTATGTATAAATATTAAATTTAAATTTAAAACCTCTAAATATTTATAACTTTATAATTTATCTACGTAAAACATTAATTAACTATATTTATAATTTATTTCTAAAACGTTCTCCTTTAACTTTTTGTTTCAACAATCTTAATTGGTCGTTTTGAAAATGCAATTTATTCTTAATATTTTGTGTTTTTCTAAATTCTGGTTATTTTTAGTAATAAAATTTTAACTAGCAGCTTAGAAATCAATCTTGACTAATAAAAGATAATTTTTTTCTCTTCTTTAATTCCGATACGATAATTCCGATTGTTTTAAATCTAAATCATGATTCTAAGATTTCTTTAATTCCGATTGTTTTCAATCTAAATCATGATTCTAAGATTTACATATCGATTCTAACATTTTCAATTGCATTTACAGTATTATCGTTATAAAAAAAAACTACCTATTAAATTATTGAAATTTATATACAAAAGATTAAATATAAATATTTATATAGTTCTTTTTTTCAAAATGAATACTTTCCAGTTCGTTCATAAAAATAATTACTGCGCATTAATATATGCTATTAACATATATGGATGAATATGCCGCATATTACCGAGTTAATTTAATTTTGACCATATGCGTACTAACTACTTTTAAATATATAATAGATATATGGTTAGCGTTAGTATGTATAAAAAAAAAAAAAATTCATTACAAATAACATAATGGCTGACGTATGAACGCCACTACCCAAATCTCATATGTCGGAAGATGACGTGAGAGGTAGCTATCTTTACCTTCTAAATGTCTACATCTATAGGTTATAATTTATTTTTTTGTCTCCCAGATTTATCACCAATCGCAATCAATAATTTAAAATTTTTAAATTCTTTATAAAAATAATGACGCGTATTATATAAATATTCACATCGCATATTTTTTATTACTAAAGAATATTATATGTACGTACTAAAATTTTCAATCATCAAGAGTATATTTTGTTAATATTTTATGTTATGCATCAAATTAGATTTAAAAACATAGTTACATCAAATTTGAGATGCGTAAGATCAATTTTAACTACTGTACTTTATTTCGAAAAATTTATATACGACTGAAGTAACAGGTAAATATCAAAATAATGGGTATATATCTACTATACATGCCGTAGAGATTGGTTTCGGCTGCGCCGAAAGTATTTAGGCATCGATTTTTTCGGAAAAAATAAAGCCGCAAGTCATAGTTTATTCCGAAACAAATGCCGAAATCCAAACCATATGTCATAATCTAAATTAATTGTCGCAATTTGTCTTATATAATAATTTATAAAATCGAATTATTTCAGTATTTAAATATACTTTTTTACTTTCAGCATTATAATAATTTACTTTATTACTTTCGGCATTATAATAAGAACTGAACTAGATGGTGCCCCATGCACTGTGTGTTCCTTACTATAAAAATTGCTAATATCTCAAGATTTTACTAGGGTAACCCTGTTGTGTAACTAATGAAAAATGTTCCTCTCGCAATTTTAGCCTAAAAAAACATTAATCCTAACCTTAACCCTAACCCTAATATTAGTTTTTATTTCTGTTCGCTATCAAAACTTAGGAGGGCACAAAGTGCATGGAGGCACCATTTAGATTTTATCTTATAATAATATAATTATACTTTATTACTTTCGCTATTATATAATGAGAATGCCTATTTCCACCATGGAAATTTACTATTTCCACCATTGGCCGTAATTTATCATAACAATGTTCGTCATGCAATATATAGCTAAAAGTCCTATAAAAAACATGGTAGAAATAGCAAATTTCCATGGTGGAAATAGGCGCTCCCTATATAATTTATACTTTATTACTTTCAGCACTATATCAACATTTATGATATTAATTATGACTTTAGGTATTGGTCATAAGTTGCAGCATTTTAAATTTAGATATTGCCACATGTCAAAATTCAGATAAAATCATGCCGTGATAATTTCTACAGTATGTATAGTATCTACACATTATTTAAATATACCTATATGTTATTTTGAGTTAAAAGTGTCAATTTCAAAATCTGGTTTAATGTATTATAAATTTGTTAATAACAGTTACATGATTTGTCACACAGATCATGTATATAAAATTTTAATTAGAAGTTAAATAATTGACACACCTAAATTTTATATGTAAAAATTTTTTTTGACTTATTTAACAAGAGTTTAATTTGAGGCTAAGTTTGTAAATTTGAGTCTGAGTTTGTAAACTCTCTAGCATTCAAAAACTTTTATAAAATTTTAAAGGTAGTTATATAATAAAATTAAAAGAATTGTGATCATGAAGTTAGCTAATTTTTTGACAATTTTTACTAGTTTGTTTTTTAGAACTATTAACTAAATTGATAAATCTAATTATCTATTTTGGTGAAATGATATGCATTACTTACTGTATAAACAAATAGTAAAAATTGTCAAAAAATTGGCTAATTTTATAGCTATAATTCTTCTTAATTTTATTATGTATTTCCTTTAAAATTTTATAAAAAGAATCTTTAAATACTAGAGAATTTACAAACTTAAACTTATAAATTAAACCAATAGTTTCTCTATGCTAAATAAGTCAAAAAAGCAAAATTTATCTAAATTTTGTCAACTCTACTATTCTGTACCATAGGTGTTAAATATTATAGATCTCTATTTCTTAAAAATATACTAAGTAAACAGGATTAGATATTCTAAGTAAAAATGTTTAGGACCTTAAAAACTTTATAAAAACTAAAATTAGAGCTCTATATCTAATATTATAAGTTTGGTTAACCAAATTTGTATATTTCTCAATCAAATTCATAATATTATATGAACTTCTATTTTGATTCATCTTTAATAACTTGCGATCTAGTAATCAAATAGTAGTAATTTAGTACTATACAAATCATTTCAATAAGACAATTCAAATGGTATTATAATTACTACTATCTGATTACTAGATCATAAGTTATCAAAGATAAATTAAAAAATATACAAATTTGGTTAACTAAATCTACATTATATTATATAAAAAAAAAATCTTTAAAATTACATTCTAACCCTAAAATATATTAACACTAATAACACAATGGGTATATTTTATATTATTTGAATTTAATATATAAAATTTAGATATATTAATTATTTAATATATAATTAAAAATTTTATATATAAAATTATATAACTAATAAATTGCATTAAGTATACATTATTTTGAGATATATGTAGTATTATTTTAAAATATCTATATTATTTTTAAAGTAGTATTTATTTATTTTGAAAATTTATAATACTATATAATTTAAATATTCTAATTATTTAATATTTAAATCTTGCTATTATATATATTTTATAATAATATTTATTTTCATACTTATATATTTAATTTTTCTTCAATAGTATTTGTTATAATATATTATTTATTTATTATTTCTCTAAACATATTAATTTTCTAATTTTCAAATATAAAATATATGTTTAATAACAACAAACAAACAAATAACAAAACAAACAAATATCTAAATACCAGTATTAGAAGAATATAAAAAAATTTTTTATCAAGAATAAAAACAAGAGATCTGTATTATACAATAAACAAAATTTAACTATTTTAAAAAAAATTAAAGAATAGCAAACTATCTAGATACAAATAATATTCACTTAATAGCTACTATATATTTGCAATATATTATATATTTATAACTAAGCTAAATACAAGAAAATAAAAAAGCTTGAAATAACTAAAAATGAAAAAATACTAATAGATAAGAATATAAATCTTTATAAGCTACAAAGCAATAGTAACAAAACCAAAATAGAAATATCTTCTACTAAAATAAGTTTAGTATAACTAA